AAGCGGAGCAACTTTCGGCCCCGGGTACCTGCCCTGCCCTCGCTGCTGGGGGAGCAGCCGGGGACTCGCTGCCTCCCCCAGCCTCCCCAGCTCAGCCGTGGGAACGGGCTGCACGCCTCAGCTTTCCTCTCCCAGCCCTGAAAACCCAGCTAGCAGCAGAGGCACCCTCCAAACCAGCTTATCTGGGGGCGGCGTGTGGAGGGGGGGGGATTAGCCTTCCAAAAAAAAAAAAAAGGAAAAAATTCAATTAAAAAAAAAAGAAACCGAACCCCAAATCCAAGCGAAAACTTACCGAGACCACCAAATCCCCCTCCCCCAAGCCTTTCCTAAAAGGGGCTGGAGGGGGAAACTTGTTGAGCGTTTATGCAAACCAGAAACAAAACCAAGCAGGGCTGAGAATAACGGTCCTGGTCGCTGGTAGCTGCAATAAGACACGAAGGCTCCGAGTGGCTGCTGCGAACCTAAATCATGTACTTTTCTCTTCCAGACAACATAGGGGGACCAGAAGGGAAAAGGGCTCGGACTGCTTACACCCGCTACCAGACCTTGGAGCTGGAAAAGGAATTTCACTTCAATAGATACCTGACCCGCAGAAGAAGGATTGAAATAGCACATGCTCTTTGCCTCTCAGAGAGACAAATAAAGATCTGGTTCCAAAACAGGAGAATGAAATGGAAAAAGGATAATAAGCTGAAAAGTATGAGCATGGCAGCTGCAGGAGGGGCATTCCGTCCCTAAGCGTTTGATCAATTAAAAGTACTGAGCAGTATTAGCTGACCCTGCGTCTCATGTCAGTACTAAGTTGACTTTCTAAAACTTCCTTGTGTTACTTCTGTGAAGAAACCCTGTTCTTGTCGCCCTTATTCATCTTTTAATCATGAGCCTGTTTATTACCATTCTCTCGCGTGTATAAGTAGATCTGCTTTTATCGTACATTTCTTTGTCTTGAATGGCTTTGTCTTGAAAAAAATAATAGATGTTTTAACTTATTTATATGAAGCGAGCTGTGTTACTTGAAGTAACTGTTAAAACAAAACAAAACTAAACAAAAAAGAACAAAAAAAGAGAAGGTTAAAAAAAAAAAAAAGGAGAGAGAGAAAGAAACCCTCCCCCGGTTTAGTACAAATGTTATGTGTTGCACTCAACCTGCTTAACTGTGCATGTGTGGTCAAGTGTTAATGTCTGTATAGCTCCAAGCTGTTAAAAATATTTTTATTCAAACTACCTATATAATTCCTGTGTAATTAATGCTGTTGTAGAGGTGAAATGATGAAATCAACTGAACTTGTCCTACGTGTAGTGAATAGTGAATCTGTGACGAAAACTGTGATTCCAAGCAGTATGTCCTTGCTGTGCCTTTGTATATGACTCTTTGCACGAACTCTTAGAAGTGGCTCTTATTAAGCGCAGCTTCTGTGATGTATGTTTTTTGTGAACAAAGTTACAAATATAGTCAAAGTCTGGCTGTTTGAGCAAACTGTGATCAGCTTTTTTTTTTTTTGTATTTGTTTTTAAAAAAAAACTGACCGGAAATCAACAAAAAAAAAATAAACTTTCTATTGTAAAGTTTTCGTGGTCTGGTTTGTGCAAAGCAAGAAGTTGTGCTTCCTGATTTGCCTCTGAAAAAATATATTAACCCGTGCAGACTTTGTAATAATAGTTTACCTGGCTCCTGCTGCACGTTGGAAATGGTAGATGCTGCGATTGTCCGCTACCACTATTTTTAATTGAAAGTTTGACCATAAGTTCCTCCTTACTGGTTTCTCGCTAGGTGGAACGCTGCATCGCAGGACCACAATCAACACCCTTTTGTGGGTAAATCAACTGTTAGCTGTTTGCTGATGGTTGGGAAAAAAAAAAAAAAAAAAAAAAAACAACCACATGTGCTTTGTTAAAACACGCTGCTAACTCCAAGACGTGTTTGCATCGCTCTAGAATTTCTCCTGTGGTTTCATTAAGTATATTTGCAGGACAACCATGTCCGAGCCCTCTGCGTCTATTAGTAACCCTCGCTAGCCACATTCCCACTTTTCGCCCTTTAAAGATTTTTGGTTTTCTTCGCTACAATTAGTTTGCTATAAACGTAATGTTACTTACCCCATCAGAGCTTGAATGGTTAACTCTTCTGAGCTTCTAAGAGCAACTAAAGATTTGCACATTTACTGACTGGTTACATTGATGCCTTCCCTTAAAAGTTATAAAACAGTAAACTTTATAAGCCCCAGTTCCGGCTATATGACATTTGGGTGCCAAATGAATAGGGTTTTGTCTATGAATTAGATCGTAAAATCATCCATAGCACAGACAGATAGGCTCACTGGCTATAAAAAGTCACGTGGTGCCATTAAAGTAAGTTTTATGGTTTTGGGGAGTTGACATCCAACATTATATACCACATAACATATAATCTCACTGACGCTGGACTTCATTTGACTCTTTTGCAGGCTACGTGTGCCTCCTGGCCATTCAAATTGTCAGGTTTAGGGACAGAAGTATCCAAACCACAAGTTCTCAATACTGTATGAAAAATGGCTCCTTGCAAGTCAAAGGTAAGTTTTGTGCACAAGTTCCTTAAAGTTTATTTGTACAGTGGGGAAGCCAAGGTTCCCGCTCGCTCTCGCTGCCTCTCGCCTCTCTTTCTTTCTCTTTCTCTTCCCCTTCCTCTCTGCCTGGAGCTTTTCAGGACGGTCCCACCGAGCCTGAGAGGCAGGATCAACCACTAATGATCTAGGTTGCGCTGCGAATCCCCCCCCCATCCCTTCACTCGCAGCAGCTAGCTCTCTATTTTAACGATCAAATCAAAGTAAACCACAATAAGCGACTTTGGCAGAGATGGATTTTGGGGCCTAGCTTTAATCACTTTGACTACCGCAGAACATAATTACTTCCTTTGCTCCAATAGGCTCTCCAAGTTTGGAGAGGTTTTGTTTAGCAAGGAGTAGTTACTGCAAGCGATTAAAGAAAGGGGAAACAAAATAGATAGGGCTTGATATTATCTGGGCAGTGTCTTATGTAGGCATGATAGAGTTGGAGGCGTGCTGATATGGTAATAATCTTTGGATTGGTGAAATATGTTGCACATCAGAGCTAGTATTAAAATGGCACAGACTGTACTGGAGCGCTTAAGATTCCTATTTTCTGCATCGGGGTGTGCAGAAAGCTTTAGCTATGTATATATGTCCATCTGCGAGGGCATAGTGTGTTTCGGGGATGCGCATTTATAACGTTGCTATAACTTTTTCCAGTTCCTATATGTAATTGCATAAATATAAATATATTTAAATTATGTGTGTGTGTGCATGTATGTACAAATCGATGTATACGCCTGTATAAAGCCGTGCACATGCATATGTGTGTCTAATATCGGTGTATTTATGTATACAAAGGGTGTGTACGCGTGTATACATATATACGTTCCTGTGCCTTTTTTTTTTTTTTTTTTTTTAAAGCGGAGCAATTGACTGTAACTTGTAGCATTAATACAAGAGACTACAGGTCATTAGAGTGCTGCAAATTATGAAATACGGGCTTGGTTTATTGAGGATTGTAAATATCCCCCTAGCTCTGCTCTCTCCCTCCCTGCCTTATATTGCTGGCTGCCATTGTGGGGTAGGCCCCAGCTGCGTGTTTACTTCAACATTCTTTTTATTTAAGTGGACTGTTCTCACTAGAGTGTGATTACTCAGCAATAAACTTTATGGCCGGATTTAACTTTAGTCTTTGAATTTCCAGGACTTGAATGAAAGGGTGAAAGAAACTCTGTCTTTCTCTGGGTAGCATTAAGGCCTGATCCTTACCCTCAGAGCTGTTACTTAGGCGGATGATCTCAGGGGGTGCAGACGGAGTATTCAGGGTCTAGGGAAGAGATTTGAGAATTGCCTCCAATATATGCATACATATTTTTTAATCTCTCTCTCTATCTCCAAACCAGCTGTGAGTATCTCTTTCTCTGCTCAGGTTTGGAGTAGGAGGGATTCAGCAGATCGCATTGTTTTCCTTCATGTGTCATAAAGTCGGGTTTGCAAAAGAACGGGGTGGTTTGACGCGAGCTGGGAGATGGGCTTTGTTTTATTTCGCTAGTGCTATCCCGTTTGAATATCGCGGTTTAGGCTGTATCTGTTACTGTGAGCAAAAATGAGAGAAAGGCACGGGGGTGCAGGAGGGTAAGGTTGTTGTGTACCTCTGCAGGGTCTGCACTTCGCTGACTGATTCCTATTTTTAATTTGTTTGCCTTTAACTTTAAAGAAATGGTAGTTTATAAGGTTGGCTCAGCTCAAAGATCTCACAGTTTTACAAATATTTAATATTTACAGTCAAGCCCCTGTGTACGATAAATGGAGTCCGAAACCTTTGTGTCTGTGTATCTTCCTATGAACACTAAACAAACACATATGCATATACTTTATATTAAAAAAATAGGAAAGGCTTCAGAAGTGCATATCCAAATGCACATTTGAAAATCATTTCCGCAATAAACAGCTGGAGATTTCATAGTGCACTAGCTGTCACATTTTCGTCAATAGGAACACCAGAAAGTTATATATGATAGGCGTGTATTGTATTCTATTATATTATATGCCATAAAATTTTATAGGTTGAGGCAAAGGCATGAAAACCCTTTAAAAGTTTGAGCTTCATTTATATACGGGTCCTTTTCCAAGGAAAATCCTTCACTTGTAAACGGGAATGATACTAGACACAAACCGTTCGCGATTACTCAATATTCAACAACACTGCGTTATTTGAATTAGCTGGTGAATATATAAACACACACGCTCACCCGTTCGACTAGTATTTTAGCAACCTGGTTATCGTCGCAGATTGTCATTTTTCATTGCCTAGAGCGAAAAGATTCGCTACTACGTATTTTCACATTTTTGAATGTGGCTTCTAGAGCATATTCCACGTAAAGCAGTGTACAGAGATTCAAGAACCACGGAAAAGAAAAACATCCCCAAACCCACAAGCACATAAACCCGCCCGTACTGCAAAAAACTCTCTCACAACAAAAGAAAGTTAGCTAGAAATGACAACTTCTCCATATTTCTGGCCCTGCCCTGTCCTAAGCAGCACAGTTGAAGACATTCAACTCCAGAAACGCATTAAGATTTTCTAATCCGCTTTGAAATTTGAAATTCAAACAACCCCAGACTGCCGAACCCTACCGAAATATTCCCAGGTCCTAATTGTTTTCCGAGGGAAAATGTCATGGAGAATAATCGCTGGGAATCAAGAGAGAGGTCTTATCTGCGCACATTATTTTTCTGCTGTGTTTGGGGGGATTAATGCGTGCGAGTTTGTTTTACTTTAGGCATGGCAAGTGGCGTTCTGCGCATTGAAATATAGTTTACCTAATCCTTTGAAAGAAATACTTGAGTGTAGTGTGTCATGTCTAAGCGTAAGGCCAATTAAAGCTTAGGCAACTCTCTTAATGTGTGTAACTAGTGATTTTGCAAGGCATAACTTTCTCTAAACCAGAAGTATAACAATCCGATGGAAAGTCATCCGTAAATTACAGCTCTGCAGCCTTGTCGAAGACCTGCAAACGCCCTAATTGCAGAACATTACGGGGAAATTATTATTCTGCCATTTCCTTACATTTAATAAGTGTGTATCTGTGGAAGGGTGACAATAGAGGGGTCTGCAATCTGCTCCATGGGAAATTGAATGGAACAGATCATGAGGGGCGGATCAGGAGGTTTCGATTTCAAACCCTGGATACTGGAGCAATGCCTTTTCCCTCCCCGCAAATACAGATTTAACGCATTAAATGCAGACGTAAGTAAATCTCCTGACCAAGTTAAGACATCGCTTTGCTTTCTTAGCTCTTTCTCTTTCCTGCCCTTAAAATCTCCCCGATTTGTTGCTAGAGTTGCTAGCCAGAGCGCAAAAGCACAGCTCCCACAGCCGCCTGGTCATCTTTGAAAATATTATCCCTTTCAAATTAAAGCATCCTCACTAATGTCTCTCTGGAAGGCAAATACTCATGGACCATCACAGTCACATGTTCCTGTAGCTACACGCACAAACAATATCAAATCTGACATAGAGAGCGTGTAAAATTTGCAAGGATCTCGCCTTACAGCACGCATAAGGAACCTTCCCTATATCCCCTCCCCAAAAAAATGTCTTTTCAATAATAATATTTGCTATGAAGGTTATTGGGTAATTATTGCAATTTTGTGGAACAGTCCTTGCTTGAGGTGAAGTCTGTCTCTGGATAACAAATGGCAGCCCGTGCAGTTCACTGCCAGGTTAAGTAAATGCAGAAAAGATAAATCTGCACACCCTAGGAATCACCAGCAGAGCTCGCTTTAGACCAAGTTCACAGTCAACTCGTTTGCCTAGACAAGGCTTCGCAAACAATTAGAGTTGTTTCTTTATGTTTAAATCAAGGAGAAATGACTAAGACCCTCGCAGCAGAGAGCTGCAGCTTTTCCCCCAACGCTCGTCGCTACATTCCTTCCAACCTCACGCCCAGAACTTACCCAGCATTTCACCTGCAATTGTAACCATATAGCGCCTTTGAGTAACAGGCTTCCCTCCAACGCTGCCGAAAGGCTGTGCAAACTGATTTAACAGCACTTTACAAAGCTGCGAGATTAAAGAAAAGAAAGGAGAAAAAAAAAAAAAAAAAAGGGCAATAATTAAAAATGCAAAAGTATCCGATTTCTCAACAGCAAGAAGGAAAAAGAAAAAAAAAAAAAGCCCTTAGAAAGCTGGGGGAAACGGCAGAACTATTGAAACAAACAGTGCGAGCCTCTTACTCCTAAAAGAAGCTGCATAGCTTTTGTATATCTTTGTGGTTAAGGGCGTTACAACTGCAGGTCAAAAAGTTGAGGGTCAAAAGTTTACGTTTTGCACCACTCTTAGTCATTCGCCCAGACAGAGTTTGATGTCAATGTTATAGCCGAGATCTTGACTATCAGCACAAAAGATAAAATAGCTTTGAGTTACGTGTGTATCACAGTATGGACTCCAGGTGAACCCTACTGGCTGAATGACCTCAATTACCGAGGAAAGGATAGAAAATTCCTCTTTTCAAGAGTAATACACGTTGTATTTCATCTTGAATTATCGGCCACATTTGTGTCTGAATATCTCGGGTTCAGCCGCGGCAGGTAAACACGCGTGTTACCCCCACAGCAGCCGCTGATGCCGCCTCCCCCCCCCGTCAGGGAGCAAAATGGTTCGCCCTTTGTTTTTGCTCTCATTTCTGTAGCGACCGCTAAACTGTGCTTAAACAGGGCGTGCTGGAGGTAATACGGGTTATATACTCGGTCCGAAGGAGCTCGTTTAAAATGAGGAGCGGTGGGGCCATGGTGCGCTACCGATGGAAAATGTTGCGGAGAAGCTGGCGCCCTGCGCCGCTCCGTGATTTGGAGGGATCTCACAGCCTCCTGGAATTACCCAAGGCAGCGGTTCCCAGCGAAATGGGGAGCAGGGAGGGTTGTTTTCCCTCCCTCCATCCCCCCGCCCTCTTCCCCCCCCCAAAGAAAAAAAGTTTGGTGGAATTTCTTTGCGCAGAGAGTTATTCCCCACATTGCTGGGATTTTTTTGTTCCTCGGTGTTGAAGCTTCAGCTCCTCGCTTAGGCATGTCTGTGGGGAGAACTGGCCAATATCGCGGAGGGAATTTCATTCTGGGGGAGACCACAGCGAACCGGATTCAGCCTGAAACGATGAGGATGAGGGAGTCAGTGGAAGAGGGAAAGGATATTCCCAAATATTGAGAAGCAGATATGAAAGGTGTGGAGGAGGGGAGGGGGCGACGAGGAAGTCCGGGAAAGAGCGCACCTCACCCCCATCGTGCAGAGCTGCCTTTCGACCCCAAGGCAGGAGGCTGCACCGGCCTCTCTCTGTAGCTGGTACGCGTGAATTATTTGCCAGAGACACAGCTGGATCGTGGCAGCCGAGGGTTATTTCTTGGGAACAAATATACCGGGGGTTAGATTTCAGATCAGCCAAAGTGGTTATTGGAGATTTTGCCTAAAGTACCTGCTGAAGCCTGGGAAGTTTATAATGCAAGCGTCTGCTCGGCGTGCAGGCGTTGTTCACAAGTTGCTGCTGTTGCTCACTTGTAGCGAGCCCTGGCATTGCACGTTTGGGGAGCCTGCCCTCGCTGGAGATAGTATATAACCTTTCACATCCAGAGTATTTATTTGGTGTAAGAGCGAAGCCTGATAACAAGCTAAAAACCGTAGCCAAATATCTATTTTGTTAGAGAATAGCAGGCGGATTGTTTCCAAGAATAACAATGCGTCTTTGATAGACCCAGAACGAAAGCTGTTACTATAACCGGCTTACTCAAAAGTAGGTGACCGAAATCCATTTGCTTCCTCACCAAAACAATTACTGGCTCGAATTCCGTATTTTCAATCTACTTTAGACTAAAAATATCAGTGAGAATATTTTCAAAGAAGCTGAAACTGCGACTTCAATAAATATTGACTCTTCTGAACTGTTGTTTAAATTATTCCTTAAAAAAAAAAAAAAAAAAAAAAAAGGCAACAACCTGGAGCGGAACAGTTAATAGTTTGAGCCGAACTCTTTCTGTCCTTTCACTCTCCGCATTCAGCACACTGCTCTCTGGCGTGGAAGGTCTGCTCGAAAGACCATTCATTGAAAATCCGGGCACAAATCACATTTTACGTATGTTTCTTTAACCGCGCCAGGACAGAGCGAGCAAATCCCGCCACCCATCCCGTTGTGAAAGAAGAGCCCCCGTGCCGGAGAAGTCCCCGCTTTTACCAAATGCTGAACTTGGGGCAAAACTGCCAGCATTGCCCCGGCAGCGCCCATCGGGAAGGAGCGCTCCCGCCCGCGGAGGCAGGAGCAGCCTCGGGGGCTGTATCATTCCCAGGAACAAAGGAGGGAATACAGTCGATACATTCCATAACGTTTACATTTTCCCGCGATTTTTTCTTAATTTTCCCTTAGAAGTAGTGACCTGGGCAAAGCACCCCGCTATCTAAAAGACACTGTTATAGACCTTTTAGAAAAACTAAGTCCAAGGCCGAGGTGAACTTCAGGTCACCGCGTCTAACAAATATGAAAATGTCGCCTGGTGAAGGGCACGCCTTGTTATTTAACAAAGACTGTCAATGTGTAAGATTAATAAGAAACAAAATGCACACGGTGTCACTTTTCGGTCACTTTGAAACTTGGGACAGCCTCGCATTCAAGAAGGGAAAGCTGAGGCTAAATATATTCAAAATGGTTCAAATCAAATTCAAACCAGGCTGCTAGTGCGATTCTTCCTCCTCCTACCGCTCTCGGTGGAGGATGCCCGGGCACGGCGAAAGGTTGACTTGAATTATTATTACTATTACTATTACTATTACTATTACTATTACTATTACTATTACTATTACTATTACTATTACTATTATTGCTGTTATTGTTATTTTCTCTTTCGGAGTAATTACGTTTTAGCCGCGCATGTGGAGGGTGGCAGGAGTGCTTGCCTGTTTCGCAAGAAAAAGCGGGGTCCCTCTTTCCCCCCTCTTTGGGTATGTACGAGGTTGGCTCTTCTGGGTGCATGGAAATTTACTCTCTCCCTCTCAACTTAATTCCAGTGGGGTCCCCATCTCCTCCTCGGCCAGCCTCGGCCAGGAAACTCTCGCTCCTTTATTAACTGATTAAAGTCTCCTTCGCCAGTGAAATCGAGCCTTTAGTCCTTCTGGAAAAATAAGGGAGCCGGCCTATTTTTCCTCTCCTTTTCTTTCTTTGAGAGCTTGGGATGATGCTACAAGTTTGTTAAAGGGAAGTACCGGGGAAAAAAAGGGTTTCTGAGATTGTTTATTACAGCCATAAATCTTGCAGTAAAATGTCGAAATGGCCGTGTGCAAGATAACACTTGGTGGTCTTGGCTGGGTTCTTGTTTATGATAACAAAACCACAAAGACATGGAACAGGCCTTTTGGAGGTCCTGCCTCAGCACATCTTCGCAGACTAATAGAACCACACGAAAAAACCAGACTTCAGCTGAGCAGCTCAGGTCACCTTGCAGATTTACAGTCGTATACAAAATTGCATCCTTCTCCCTGTAACCGAGCGCCAGAGCCCCACGGTAGAAAGAGGGGCAGAGAAACAAGTATACTTTGAGATCTAATCTCGGTAAATAATACGAAACAGAGCTCGGCCAGCTCTCCCAATATAGCTCTGAGCTTACAAACCGAGACACCACTTTTCGTTGTGTTTTCCCGTGGCTTGGGAGCACGGCAGCCTGCTCTGGCCATAGCGTCTCAGGACGTATGTCGAGGATAATATTTACGATAACCCAGTGTAATTCATCTGGCGCTGGCCGGCAGGTATTGGTACGTCTGTGTCTGTGTGTGTGCATGGATCTCTTTACGCCGGGAAAACTCGCTCTGCTCGTGGTGGGCTTTGGCAATCTTTTATTTTTTACAGTCACGTAGGTGGGAGCTTTATTCTTTTACAACAAGGGTGGTTGTTGTTTTCGGGGGGGGGGGTTGTTTTGTTGTTTTGTTGTTGTTTTTTTTTTTTTTAATAGAAATAAAACAATCTCCCCTTTCCTGTCAAACGTGTGTTGTTGAACAGTTGCTGCTGTCTCTGCCTGCGCGTGTGTAACCGCGTTTCCTCTCCATGCAAAGTAAATAGAGAAACTTATCTATTACCCCAGTTAAAGAGTTCCATAGATGTGCTGTTGGAAATGAGTAAGTAAATGTGTTTTAACTCTCTTTACAAATTAGACATTCGATAGGAGGAGGAAATGAGTGATTGTTTAGATAAGTACCCCAGTATACCCAAGTGCTGGAAAGGTTCTAACGTATTACAAGCCGCCTGCAATGTGCGTGTGTGTGTGTGTATAAAATATAAATCGATACGGTGTGTGTCTTGTTAGATAGAATATATATTCAAGTAGAATTTTATTGCATGTATCCATTATCTATAAAACTGCAAAAGACAATAATCTGAATTTAAACCAGGGTAACTGTTAATGTAATATCTTTAGGAGGGCAAGATCTAAAACGTATCATATTTACGCTTGATATATTAGATGTATTTTCCCATACCAGCAGATGAGATTACCCACTCAGCAATTATATTCTCGAAGGGTGCGGTAAATATTTCTATGTGTTTATATGCTTTCCTGAAAAGGAGAAAAAAAAAAAATCCGAAAAGTTCGCTTCTAACTCCGAACGTACCAGACGAGCTGACGTTCAGTAACTATTTTTTTTCCCCTTAGAATAAGAGCGTAATTAGTTCAACCATCAAATTTCAATTACCTAAGGTCAGGGCGGTTGTCTCTTTTCCCTCTGAGCTGCAAATATCGTTAACAGTCTCAGTTTTAGCAATGCAGAAGTGCCCGAGTGCCCTCTCCCTCCCACGCCAGGGTTTGCGAGTTACTTCTGCGAAGGCGCTAGCGATTTCTCGTGGAAATGAAAATTAAGAAATAAACCCAAGACGAGGCATACCAAACCGACGGACTCAAATTCGTAGTTTGGAAACCGCTCCTCCGCGGGGAGGGATGCTCGCGGTGAGCCCTGCAACCGCCGGTGGAAATATTTGATACCGCCGTGTCCGCCTTCCCCTCTCTCCCTTCCCCCTCTCCTCCCCGTTATTTTTAGGCTCGCTCCATCCCTCA